CCCTATGGAAACTTCTGCAGGAGACGATTTATCTCACACCTCATCTGTAAATTGAGTGACAGTTTTTTTCGAAAATGGATGTTACAGATCCAGCAGTATTATTTGTATGACAAAGGACTGTTTTCCCAATGCACATAATATGCACGTGGTTAAGTAAATCGCTCTCATTATACATGGCATCGTATGATGGGTGTTAAAAAGGATGTTCAAGCACGATTAATTATACCAGTTAAACACATTTCCACATTTACATTTTGGTAAACATTATTTATACGGCAATTAATTAAAAAGTATTTACATCAAAGGAACTAGTTTAAATGTCACTGCGTGCGCTGAATTAAATGCACGCTTCTGCAATTGTTCCATTTCTTATTTGAAGATATCATCCAGAGGAAAACACTAAGCAACGTGCCTTTTGAAAAAAGCCTGCCTAGCGCGTGTGTGTTTAAGTGTGTATGTATGGGGAGCGGTTGGGTAGCGGTAGGGTAGCGGTTAGCACGCTGCGCTACGAACCTGACGAACCGGGTTCGATTCCCGCTCACGGCCAACACCAGTGACGATTATCTGAACCGGTCCTGGGCCTCCCCTAGGTCGACTCAGCCTCAAATGATTACCTGGTGCAATGTGTAAACATTGTCACTAGGTAGACAAAGGCGGCCGGGCGTGGTGTTGGCCACCCACCCCCTCGTGTGCCGTGCCGGCCTTCATAGGTGCTCGCTAACAGCATTTGCCCCAACAGTCTGTTATCGACTATACGGGGGATCTTTATCTCTGTACGTATAGAGCAGCGGTGCAACGCTACGAACCCGGCGACCCAAGTTCAATTCCCGCTCACGGCCAGCACTGGTGACGATTATCCGGCCGGTCCTGGGGCCTCCCGAGATCCACTCATCCTCAATGTATGTTGAACTTCTTTCGCACTGCACATAGCCAACCGGGCTAATCGCACCAGGTACCAAATGAGTCACCCTGTGCGGTGTGTAAATATCTCCACTTAGGAGACAAAGGTGGTCGGGCTTGGCGCTAGACAACCACCCCCTCCGCAACATCTTAAATGTGGTCGTCCAACTCTGAGACTGAAGATATTTATGAACATGCTATGCAGGGAATTAAAGAATGTGTGCATCGTGTAACTGACTCCAGGAGTTGTTCTGTGAACGTCACATCCCGGTGCCACTCTCAGACACAGTGCTAGCTGCAGAGTTCCGAATGGGAAACATCTCTGTCTCGTGACATGACATTGATGTTAAAATTGCAACAACAACGAAAAACTAGAAACAAATTACAAACATGAATACATTTCGATTCGCTCTTCTACTCAGGATGAAAGCAGTTGAACATTATGAACAAAGTCATTTGCATTAATTGTACTCAGGAATGGATTAAGGTCATGTATATTAATATTCACGAGCCCCCAGGATACGAAGCAGAATGCCCCCTGGTAGGACAGGCCAGAGCATATTTAGCAGACAGTACAGTCGGTTTATATCGGCATTATTGGCACACAAAGGCCATTTCAAATTTTCACGAAACAAAGATCCCCCGTATAGCCTTAACAGACTGTTGGGGCAAGTGCTGTTAGTGGCCGCAGCACCACGCCCGGCCACCTTTGTCTCCCCAGTGGAAATGTTTTTACCGCACCAGGTACTCATTTGAGTCTGAGTCGACCTCGGAGATGCCCAGGACCGGTTCAGATAATTGTCACTGGTGTTGGCCACGAGCGGGAATCGAACTCGGGTGGCCGAGTTGGTTGTGCAGCGTAGCGCTAACCGCTGCGCCACCGCTCCCTTTAACCATACCACACACGTGCGCGCGCGAATTGTCCATGGTTCTTAATGCCAGTGTGAGTCCTGATGCGATTTACAAACTGGGCCACACACTCGGGCTATACATCAAAGTGAAATCCACTTACGCGATGTCATCTGCTGGGACCCATTCACCAATTAAAGCTGTGCTGTCTGGGGGGGGGGGGGCATTGAGGGAGGGTTGGGAGGGGTGGGAGGTTGTGGGTCTGCTGGCTACATATTAAGGCGTGTAGCGGTGCATCAATTCGTGGATTCACGTGGGATTATTTAAGCTCCGCGTTACGTGCATCGATCCGCGTGCGTAAGCATCAGTGTTTTTGTTTATTTGTTTGTAAATGTTGTATGCGATGCATGCACAAGACGATGGTGCCCGTGTCTCTAAGACTGCTTTTTTTTGCATTTAGCGAAAGAAGTTCAACATACACACACACAGTGATGGCCGTTGGAACTGCTGGAGCCTGCTAAATTCACAACGGTACAAAACATCTAATTGTAGGTTACTGGTTGGCTCATAAAGGCATGAGAACCGAGCTGGAACTCGTGAGATCTTGCGTGGGAATTATATTTTAGTGACCAGTGATTCAACTGAGGCTTCCACTGTCGTGAGTTGACGATCTCAGCCTGATTATGACTCTGTCGTGTTTTTGTTCATTGGTTCTACCAGTTAATTTTGCTGGTCCAACTCTTAGAATTACGAACGGTTACTTGACATCGGTTTGACTGTCATGCGAATCTCATAGAAAAGTGCGTGGGGAGAGTGTGCCCCCTACTGTGTAAAGGATAGAAAGGGTTTCTTGAATGAGTTCTTGGGAGAAGTCCTCTGGAAAATGTTTTCTACTGCCATTTCCCAATGGACGCTTCATCTCGTGACACGGACAAAACTCCATCTCGTGACACGTGCAAAACTCCATCTCGTGACACGTACAAAACTCCATCTCGTGACACGTGCAAAACTCCATCTCGTGACACGTACAAAACTCCATCTCGTGACATGTGCAACTGTACGAGGAAATGTATCGCTCCATTTTAACGGATTCATGAAGATTTTATGGCTCATTGAAGTGCCGAAGTTGCCCATATACATTTTAGATTAAATCCCAAACAATGAAAATTCTTAATGTTGTTATTTTTAACCAGGTAACGCCATATACTCTAAAAGCATGAATCTAAATATGGAGGGAGAAACCGGAGCACCCGCAGAATAATCCACGCGACCACGGGGAGAGAGACACAGACTCCAAATATAGAACAGGCGTCAAGGTCGGGACCGAACCCACGACCTCCTGCATACCAGGCAAGGGAGAAAACATCTCGCCACTTTTTCTCGCGAGACTCTTGCATTGGGATGCGTGGCGAATCCCATTAATGGGTGATGGGTGGTATGTGTAATCCAGAGAACTTGGAGAAACCCCAACCCTGCCATCGTCCGGTACCACCTCACGACCCCACTCCTACAACATGGCCATGGCTTTGACATCAGTGGCGAGTGATGTCTGAACTGGGCCTAGGCACCCCTCCTTCACCCAATCTGCACTTATCAACTTGGCGAAGTATGGTCAAATAACTCACATGACCGACACGGAGAATCTACCCCATTTGGCAGCGGCCTGACAGAGAGCTGATGACTAATTTTCACATTTCGCAAGTGATTTAATTAACGTGCTTTAAAATAAAAGCAATATGTGCCTGTGCATGAGCAATGTTATACCAAAATCCTCCTCTGCGTTATAAGACGCGCATTTCGATCCTTGTATTTTAATAGAAAACTTCACGAGCGTGTCTAATAATGCGCTAAGCGTGTAGGTGTGAAGCCTTCTCGTCTTGGCCAGCATCCCTCAACATTGGCATTAAGCTCGCGCAAGAGTAGAATAGATTATCTCTCCCCCCCACCCACCCACCCGCCCGCCTTCACAAACTTAAGTTGCCTCCTGCTATGAAACTGCGTCTTCCACACAGGGTAAGGCAAAACAAAAAAAAACAACCACATCACAACGATGACAAAGATTAATGAAATTTCCCAAGATGAGCAATGCTGATGTAATGTGACACGGCGCTGTTTATGTGAATCGCTTCTCACGTTTCTGCTGCACTACCGGGAACGTCTCGTGCAGTTGCTTGCACCTTGTTCTAACTGCAATTCTCTCAAATTGTTATATTTGTAGTACTGCACAGGGGTGGTCCAGACGTCTCGTGACCCGCCCCCATTTAATCATCTGAAACGTAATATTTGTGTATTCCAGTGAGTGTGAAATCAGAAATGAATACGTTCATGTTAGGGTTCAATTAATTTTGGGGTTACAAGACATTACGAACGGTACTGCACTATTGTTCTAGAGTAGTACTGCACTATTGTTCTAGTGCAGTACTGCACTATTGTTCTAGTGCAGTACTGCACTATTGTTCTAGTGCAGTACTGCACTATTGTTCTAGTGTAGTACTGCACTATTGTTCTAGTGCAGTACTGCACTATTGTTCTAGTGCAGTACTGCACTATTGTTCTAGTGCAGTACTGCACTATTGTTCTAGTGCAGTACTGCACTATTGTTCTAGAGTAGTACTGCACTATTGTTCTAGTGCAGTACTGCACATCTATTGTAGTGCAGTACTGCACTATTGTTCTCGGATATTACTGCACTATTGTTCTAGTGCAGTACTGCACTATTGTTCTAGAGTAGTACTGCACTATTGTTCTAGTGCAGTACTGCACTATTGTTCTAGTGCAGTACTGCACTATTGTTCTAGTGCAGTACTGCACTATTATTCTAGTGTAGTACTGCACTATTGTTCTAGAGTAGTACTGCACTTCTGTTCTCGTGCAGTACTGCACTATTGTTCTAGTGTAATACTGCACTATTGTTCTAGTGCAGTACTGCACTCTTGTTCTAATGCAGTACTGCACTATTGTTCTAGTGCAGTACTGCACTATTATTCTAGTGTAGTACTGCACTATTGTTCTAGAGTAGTACTGCACTTCTGTTCTCGTGCAGTACTGCACTATTGTTCTAGTGTAATACTGCACTATTGTTCTAGAGTAGTACTGCACTATTGTTCTAGTGCAGTACTGCACTAGAACAATAGTGCAGCACTGCAACACTGTGCCCGTAGAGACGCGCCCGCCAGACCCGGGAATCTCATCATCGGGCGCGAGCCCTTTGAGGGCCGCTTGGGTTGGGTGACCACTGCCGAGCGGACGAGACGCGTGCTGTGGGCAATGGAGCGCGCAGTGCAGCAAACAAAAGACATTCCCCTACACACACCCCGCACCCGCCCCAGCGTGGTGAAGTATGGTCACGGCATGCCAAGGCGTTGGCGGCGGGGGCGGGAGGGGAGAGGCGTGAGTCAAACGCTCGACGCATTTACTGCACCCTGGCACCGCAGACTGTGGCCAGTGCCCAGTCGCCCTCTCACGACGATGCAGTCTATGCAGTGTGCAATGGATGAAGCGCGCGGTGCGGTTGCCGCTGCACGTAGAGCGCTCGCCTCTCATCCCACACGATGCTCTTAACAGTGGCGGTGATGTGTTCTTTGGAGCGCGAGAAAGATGCCTTTTCTCACCCTCCCCCCCCTCTCTCCTCTCGGTCCCTGCGTCTCCCCCATCATCATCATCATCCTCCTCCCCAACCTCCACCACCCCTCCTCCTCCTCCTTCCCCTCCTCCTCCGCGGTGTCTTCTTCGCAACGATTTCTCCCAACTTCGCTTATTATTCCATGCGCAAAGAGGGCTCGGTAGCGGTCAAGCCTCGACGTGTCTGCATCATCACACACTCCCGTGTAGTAGCAGCAGCTCCATGCTGACCCAGTAGCAGCAGCAGCAGCAGGCAGCGGTAAGTAGCAAGCAACAACAGCAGCAGCAGCAGCACGCAGCAGTGAGTAACAAGCAACAACAACAGCAGCAGCAGCAGCAGAAGTCGGCGATTCCCGCGATGTTGCCGGCGTGGAAGCGAATGCGCAACCGATGAGTGCGCTGCACCGTGACTGGCGATGCTCGTTGTTCGCCGAGGCTCCCTGTGCCGCTGAGAGTTCTTCCAGCGACAGCGTGACGGCTCTTCTACTCCACCCGGGCTCTCTCTCTCTCTCTCTGTGTCGTCTCTCGTGTGGGTCGCTCTTCACTGGGTGGGATGCGATGTAGCGCTGTAGCAGGCGGCTGTGGCGGCTTCAGCTCTCTGTGAACGGTGACGCCACGTGCAAGAAGAGGAAGACGGCGGTCCACGGCTCATCGGACGCCTTGCTAGAACAAACCAAACAACTCCGGCTGGAGTTTGCGTGAAGGTAGATGACATCCAAGAGCGACAATCTCACGCGCAGCGCTTAAACTCACACCGCACACGTGGGTAGATACACGCGTGTCGCGACGCAGACACACACCGACACACAAGTTCACTCACACACACACACATCTCTCAACTCACATCACATACAGATAGACAAAGACATGCACAGACACACCGGCATAAGTTAACTCACACACGCAGCTCTTAACTTGCATCACACGCACAGATATATAGACAAAGACGTACAAACAGACACACGCCGACACACAAGTTCACTCACGCACCCACACACACATCTCAACTTGCATCACACGCACCGATAGACATAGACACACACACAGACAGATACGCAGACACACAACAGCACAAGTTCACACACACACACGGCTGTTAACTAGCGTCCCACAGAAACACACAGACGCAACGTCACGTGCACAGCTTCTCAATTCAAACCACGCATATGCACACGCGACCTCGCGCACACAACGTATAAGCTCACGCGCAAAGACAAATTCAAATACAACGCACACCACAAAGCACATTGTCGCAGACGCATCCTTGCGAACATTGGCCCAGCTCGCAACCTCACACGGGCAGAGACAAGTGGCATCGAATCAGGGCGCACGCAACTCCACACAACCGCTCGCACAGAAAGCCGAGTGCTTGCGACATCTTGACCCACGTATCGACTCAACTGACTGCACTCACCTTTTCCCACTCGTCTACCCATCCACTCGCCCACCCACCCACTCACCTGTACCTACCCATCCACTCACCTACCCATCCACTCACCCACTTACTCACCAATACCTACCCACCCACTCACCCACTTACCAATACCTACCCACCCACTTACTCACCTATAACTACCCATCCACTCACCCACTTACTCACCAATACCTACCCACCCACTCACCCACTTACTCACCAATACCTACCCATCCACTCACCCACTTACTCACCAATACCTACCCATCCACTCACCCACGTACTCACCAATACCTACCCATCCACTCACCCACTTACTCACCAATACCTACCCATCCACTCACCCACTTACTCACCAATACCTACCCATCCACTCACCTGCTTACCAATTCACAACACCTACCTACTCGTTCCGCTCACTAACCCATCCAACCTATTCACCGACCTAACCATCCACTCACCCGCGCACATACCCATCCACTTATCCACCCACTCACCGACTTTGCCCATCCATTCACCCCACTCGCCTGCCACTCACCCCACCAACCAACAAACACCGCCTCACCCATTCGCTCTCCGGCTTCGTCCACCCTTCCATAATCACCATAGCGAGGCTACCCCCATGAATGCAAGCAATAGTCGGGCAACGAACGCACTGCGATCGACAGTCACCGTTGTTCACGCGGCTCGCGATCGTTGCGCGCTGGACCTTCGGCCGCGCCGAGGACATTACCGCAGGGATCATCTCGACGACAAATCCACCCTGAGGAGAGCGACAGCGAATATGCACCGCGCCCTGTGCCTGCTACTTTGGGGCCATCTGTTCGCCACAGGTGAGTTCGTACGGGAGCCGCGCGTTATTCCCTTGCACGTGGGATTGTGTCGGGAAGGAGCGGTGGCGCTTGTGGTTTGGTTCACTGCGCCATGAACCTCGGGAAGAGACACCCCCCCCGTCCCCCCTCTCCCCCCTCCTCTCCCTTCGCCCCGAGTTCGACATCGGTGACGAGAATCCGAACCGGTCTTTGGACCTCCCTTAGGTTGACTCGGCCTTAAAACATCAGCGCCGGGGAGACAAAGGTGGATGGGCGTGACGCGCCGTGCCGGCCTTCGTAGGTGCTCGCTAACAGCACTTGCCCGCAGCAGTCTGTTAAAAAGCTACACGGGGGAGGGGAGATTTTTGTCTTTTTGTTTTGGCTGCGATTGTACGCCTCGGCTAATTGTGGGTAACGTAACAAGAGTTCGCGTGGCTCTCCCAGGTGTCGCAGCACCGCGCCTTGTTCTGCACGATGCCCGACGTTTCGCTGCACGTGCCGAACAACGCGCGGAGTGAACCCGACGGAACACCGGAGCGTTATACATCACAACCGCGATGTCACAGGCGTTCGTGTTGTGCGCATACTGTGACAATATGGCAATGATAAATGTTCAATCCATAGCATTTCCATATCAGCACATTTCTACCGACGTTTTGTGGAAAGTTGTGGCATCTTATCATCTTCGCATTGCACCGCGCATGGGTCATAGATCAAGCGCCTGTAGATTACGTATAATTAAATCATCCAGCAGTGGAGTGATGCTGGCTGATGATTGTGATCATTCCTCGTCGCGAAGCGCTATCGTCTACATAAACTAACTACGGGAACATTCACTTGTATGTATGAGGAAACTTCAACACTGCCGTCATGTATATAACATAACCTTCTATCTAACCCCAACAACAACAACCTATATGATAGACCCTTTTATAGCTGTGCGGGATATAAACCGGGGCGTTCGGGGTTAATTCGCTGCCTACGACAAACGACAACAACAACAACAACAACTCAAGTGTTACGAGACACACTGATTGCTTACTCTTAGCTTCACACGAAAAGGCCAATAACTGTGATAAGGATGTGCATCGTTTACAAATAAATACAACATTCCGTTCGAGCACTCCAAATAGTGCCCTAGGGTATCTATCAGTCAGTGCTCGATAAGGGTCACTTGGAATTCGCGCAGCAGCGGCTGCAGTTGTGGATCGCACTGTCAACCTGGTTGGCCTCACGTGAGTTCGAGTCCTTGCCCTCGTGGCACAGGGACACGTGATGAACCCAGCTTTGGCCAGCATTCGTCTTGAACAGCCTGCACGCACCTGCAGCGGTGGCGAAGTATGGTTGGCCGTGCCGTGCAACTCCCACGACCAACACGGCGCGGCGAGAGCATTGTTCAGCAGTGGAGTGACCGCAGGCCGTAAGTTTATTATTTCGCTTTCAGTCGACGGGCTTGGCAACAGTTTTAAACTGCTGCGTGATTGAATGTTGGGGTTATGGTCTCGGTGAGCCAGGCGGCTGTGGTCATACACGCCTTGTATTGCAGCACTTGAGGCAGCGAGAGTTGGTGGATTATCGCTGGATGTAAGACTCAATTCCCCCGGTGCATCGTGGCAGAGTCATTCTCCTGCCTCCCGAGGAGAAGCCAACACAGCAACAATGTGGAACTCGGCATGTCCCGTATGCGTGGTATTGAGTGCCGCGGTCTCCTACCACATTGTAAGCACTCGTTAATTTTTTTTCTGAAAACATCTTAAATGTATAGAGGACAGCAGAGCTTGGGCAATGGTTGACGCCAATTCACTGCCTGGCTGTCTTCCTGCTTGTGGTTCCTCGCACCTCCAAGTCGTTCTACTTTCGAGAGTGAGTGAAATACTTGTGAGCCTTACAAGCTGAAATAATTATTGCGATAACGTTCATGGGAGGAAGGAAAAAAAACCCTGCCTAACCTGAATGCTCTTTAACAGGTCATGTGAAACATCAGGGGCCGCCCATAAATTACGTCACGCGATTTTTGACGATTTTTGACCCCCACCCCCTCGTCACACGGCGTCATAAAAAGTCAGACCCCCCCCCCCTCAAATATGATGTCACAAAGCTCTGCCCCCCCCAAAAAAAAACCACATGCTTCAAATCGCTTTAAACTATTGTCATTGTAGTGCGTATTTAATGTGCCGCTGCACTCTGATGTTGTAGGAGAAAACATTGATTAAAAAGTCTATTTAATGAAGTAGAACGTGTTGTCTAGATTTATTTAAAGTTGCGCATTTTGATTGTGACGTCACATTTTTCACCCCCCCCCCCCCACCCTCGTCACACATCGTCACAAATGTCTGACCCCCCCCCCCCTAGGTGCGTGACGTCATTTATGGACGGCCCCTCACACGCCGAGATTTATGGCAAACAAATCCTCCTGGGTAGAGTCCTATGATCTCAATACGATGCGTGTTGCCAAACAGTGGCCATTTGGAACATTTGAGGAATGAAATTCACGTGATTAAATATTCACGTGATTAAGTGTGCGCGCGCGTGTCAATGTTATTTATTCAGGGATTAATTTCAGCCAGAGCTGTCTGGATATTATGCAATGGTTTTGTTGTTGTTGTTCTGCGACCAAGCACAAGCTGCTGCCAAATTATAAGCATTCAATAATGGATGATTATATATATATGGGCACCCTGAGAATATGAGTGGCCACTTTAAAAGCAGCAACAAGAACAACGACGATGACGACGACGACACATCAGTGTTTGGATCGAGCGCCTGATCACTGTGGGAATTCATGTGTTAATCAGCATCGATTGCCGTCGACGACTTCAAGGCACACCCACGCATCTGGCATGGTAATGAAACTAAATGCGAACTACTGGGCGCGTGGGTGATTGCTTCCTATGGGTCTTTTTTTTTTGGGTGGGGAGAGAATGCGGAACAGATGGAGTCATTGTTGTCGTCGCCCACGTGCACTGCGATTGCATAGTGCGTGGCCCTGCGTGCGAAATTTATGTTTGTGCTACGTGCGTGCCCGTGTCAAATGCGCCAACGCTGCCCAAAGCTTCGCCGGCACGCGCTCTCGTGTCCCAAACGTTGCATTGCCAGCCCGCAGGTCGCTTGCAACAGATTGCCCTTGATAGAAGGAGCGGTGGCGCAGCGGAGAGCGCGCTGAGGCTCTACACCCAACGAGATGAGTTGTCGAATCTCACGTCGGGTTGATGCGTGGCAAATTCACGAAATATTTTCGCCACCTCATCCTTCACGAACTGGAACTGACCGGCGTCGTGCAGCATGGTGAAACAACAACGATAACCATAATATAAGGGGTTTTTTTTTGGGGGGGGGGGGGGGTGAGATCGCGTGAAATATAAGTGTGTCGTTAAGCCCGCCATCACCCGACACAGCCAATTCGTAAGGTTTGTCACGTAAACAAAACATGGCAATTAACAACGATAATCAACACCGGAGTGTGGCCTTCATCCAAATGTGAAATTTTTAAATCAGAATCTCTATTTAGATTGCAGGAATCCGATGGGCTATAAAGCTAATTTTCACAGATGTCAATTTGCAAAGGGACTGTCCATTATGATCATTATTATTATATATTAAAAAAACAGTTTTACATACATCCTCTTGGTCTCTGTGAATGTCGGTGGGAATGGCAGGGGAGGGTCTCACTGGCCAAACTGCAGCTGGGATACACTCCACTCGCTCAACGTATCATCGCGTTACATATCGACCTAGTGTCGTTTTTCTATTCAACGGACTCGGAGTCTGCGAGGCAACGTGGCGAGAACAGCTTTGTGGATGTATTTCTGAACTTTTACATCGTTTGTGAGCTATTCAGAAGCGCCGGCACCGTGAGCTTGTTTTAATAAAGTCCATGAATGCTGAGCGCGTGCACACGTGAACTCTGAAAACACGTTGCCTATAAACTATAAATTGCCGCTGTTAAAGTGCTCTTCCATAATTCCGCGTGGCTGAAGGGACCTTTTTAGTCCGTGGGAAAGAGGCAAATATATGGTGAGGGAGGCATTATCGATTTATTTTTTACCCACATTCTCCACAAAGGACGCTTAGAGATTGTTTTTTGTGTGCACCCTCAGAAGATGGGTTCAACAACGTTTTAACGGTGGAACGAACTGCCGACAAGGGGGAGGGGGTAAGGGATGCCGCCCAGAAATGTCTCGCTCCCGTCACTGCTGGAGGGGGCTATAGAGAGCCCTTGTGAAGAGGGTGTTTGACCTCCTCTTCCACCCCACCACACACGCCATGCTGATCGAGCAACTGTGGTGTTACGCGTCATCCAAAACTTTGTCTATTCATTAAAATCGTGAACACGCCACCACCACTACTTTTTTTTTGCAATGTCTGATTTATGTTTTTTTACTGCATCAGTGTGACGTACCATGGGTGGATAGTGGCCCCTTGTGAATGGGATGAGGGCCCCTTTTTAAGTGGTCAGCCCCCCTCCCCACCCATCCCTCTCGTCATAGACCGGCGCCTCGAGACCATGGGCGCTAGGCGCAGTTGCACCACCTGCACACTCGATATCGTCCCCACTGATTCTTAAAACTGCTCGCTTGCGCGCATATAATTGGCACGAACGCAACACAGCGTTGCACCCGTGCATTGCAATGCAGCTCCGCACAGCACAGGGGTAAGTGATTGATGGCTTCTTTCTCCACTCTCCCTCCCACCCAATAAACTTGATAAACATATTTGCTCCTTGGCACGTAATTGCTTCCAATTGCTCCAGCCGCACTGCTCTTAATGAGGCATTGAAGTTGTTTGCTAGTCGCAGCAGGGGGGCTTGTATTACTAAGCATGAGGTTTCAACCCACCTCGATTCAGGTGATGCGCCCAATGGTGATGTTCGGTGGATTTTGAGAGACGGCAGCGGCTTGAGGAAGCCTTCATCCAGCAGTTGACTGATGAAGGCTGCTGCTGATGATGATGCAGCCATAATTGGATGTAGTCATCAATAGATCCCGTACTGAGCTATGCGATATAATGGGAACGAGGGGTAA